AATTATTGATAACACAACTATCCATCCCTACCCCCCATGCCAAGGTGCTAGACGTCATCCTTGATTTGGACCTCACCTTTCTGCCCCATATCCAATCACTATCCAAATCCTGTCGTCTTCACCTTCGTAATATCTAAAAAATACGCCCCTTCCTCACCAATGAAACCACAAAGCTGCTCATCCACTCACTTGTTATATCTCGTCTTGACTATTGTAACTCCTTCCTCGTTAGCCTACCACTACACAGGCTATCCCACCTTCAGCCTATCATGAATGCTGCTGCCAGACATATCCACCTGATCAACCGCTCAGTATCTGCAATGCCCTTCTGCCAATCCTTCCACTGGCTTCCAATCGCCCAAAGGATAAAATTCAAAATATTAACAACCACTTACAAAGCTATCCACAACTCTGCCCCCAGCTATATCTCCAACCTTGTCTCAAAGTATCACCCTAACTGTCCTCTCCACTCCTATCAGGACCTCTTGCTCTCTAGCTCCCTCAACAACTTCTCCCATGCTCGCCTCCAGGACTTCTCTAGAGTCTCTCCCATTCTTTGGAACTCTCTACCCCAACCTGTCCATCCATATCCCAGTCTGACTTCCTCTAGGCGATCACTAAAGACTCATCTCATGAGGGAAGCTTATCCTTCTTCAAACTAACAACTGAACTATCTCTTTCTCAAACAGTTCATCCCCACACAGCCACCTCCTCATGTATCATTTGCCCCTCCCTCTTAGATTGTAAGCCCTCACAGGTAGGGCCTCCTCACCATTTTGTCTTGAATTGTATTGTAATTATAATGTCTTCCCTATGTTGTAAAGCGCTGTGCAAACTGTTGGCGCTATATAAATTCTGAATAATAATAATATATGCCACCTTAAGTATGGCTGTCATTTTTGTATTATTTAAACATTTCTTCAGGCTGGATAGTATACCTCCCGCCATACTTCTGGCCAACTGTGGCTAAGAAAGCTATGGCTCTCATACGTGGAAGCAAAAGTGATGTTTGTTCACCCCTCTCTCCCCTTGCCCATTTATAGAATGTTTTGTATTATGTGAATAGTTTACAAGATAGAAAGCATTTTATAAATGATTGGTAATGACAGCAATAATTAAAGTGGCATTCACATCACAAGATTACTTTTTTACACTGCAGATTTTTCGAAAATGTCTGAAGTTCTACTTTAAGACACCCATTAGTAAACCTTTTATGCAATCATAATCTATCTAACCAAAGTGGCTGTTTTACCTTAAGATTAGCAGAAATCTGCTCTATGCACTTTTAGAGCTCCTCCAATCCAGGGTTCATACTTTTGAAATTCCTTTAATTTTGCACCCAACTTTCAGCTCTAGCCTGACCCTCCCAGCTTCCCTCAATGCAATTCAGAGCCTTAGAACTCCTCCATGGAAGACATTGCATCAGAAGTGTGAAGGACTAGAACTTCTGTCAAATTTTTATAGATGTGTCCTTACTGAGAAAATGTACCCTGTTCTTGTGACAGGTGTTAGCAGGACAGAGTGTTCTGGTAAACCACACCACTAAGGGTTGGCAACACAGCAGGGGAAGAGAACAAATTCAATGGGGACAGTTGTCCCAGTGACAACTACCACAGGTAAGTGGTTTAACCTCACTTTGTGGAGAATTTATTTCTCTTCCTCTTGTGTTGATATGACGGGGGAGGGGGATAAATCCCAAAGGGACAGTCCACAAAAAGCCTTGCAGATCTTCTCAGCCTTCTCCTCTCTCTCCAAACAGAAGAGTCTTGGCTGAGGCTTCACTGTGAAACTACCTTAGATGGGCAGGTCACTCACCAGGAACTGTGGATGATGCGAGATTCACTCATCTTTGTGGTGATTACCTGCAGGCACTCTTAGCCGATTAGATACACCATTCAATCCAGTGTTGCAGATCTGAGAGACACATATGTCTATGTCTCTATAACTTTCATTTACTTGAATGCTCAACACTGGGTCCCAAGTATATGGATTGCAAGTCACAGCACAGAACATTTGACTATACATAAGGATACCTTAATTGGTTTTAGAGAATTGCTCAGGTGTTATACTATCCAAACAATGACTGGATTGGTTGCATTACTTATAAATATTGGGCCATGAGTGGGTGGATATACCGTTGGTTTTCCCTGGATAGACAGATCTCATAAGTAATTAATAGACATCCTTTACAATATCATGAGTTCCTTGCATGATTCAGCCATCCAGCCAGCACTGCATATCTATGAATAGGTTTAGAACTGACCTGGAGATGTCTTTTAAAGTCATCAGCTACTCATGGTGATAACGTTTGCCTATGTTCTACAGGTATCTTTAGGGTAAAACATAAACCCTGGCTACGAAAAGTACATCAGACACAAAACACATTCTTTAAACTTCGCCAGTCACCATAAAACCGCTGACACAAATGAGGAAGTCACATAAAACTGCAAATGTGCATATTTCAGAGTGCTGTGAGTTAGCAGACTTTTAGAACAACTTGGTCCTACAGACATAACACATTAATTGCATCACAGAAATGTAGCTACTATTTCTATACACTGACTATGTCCCAGAGAGTAGACATCTGGGAGACATGCCCACATAAACACCACTGTTTCGGTGACAATGTGCAATGTGACTGATTAGGAGACTTCCCCAGAAATTCCACAATCGTTAAATTTAAATTCCACGCAGCATATGCAATGTACTAATAAAACCACAACAGATCTTATCAAACCCAGCAGTGACATCACAACATAATAATAAAGCAATGGAGCCAATCTAACAAACTGCTAGAATGCATTCACACTGGTTTAAATAGACAATGTAGAAACACTGGCAGATCTTTTTCTGCACAGATATTCTTATTTCTATATATTATTCTTAAACCAAACATCTTTTAATACATTTAGGTATTTTGGCAAGCAGCATAAGAGTTTTGTATAACAACATCAAAAGCAAGGTTAAATAACCTGACCTTATTTAAAAGTCAATAGAAAAATGTGCAGAGGGATCAAAAAAAGAGGTAAACAGTAAGAGTGCAATCTGTAATCCAAATTCCGAGCTACTGGTCAGTAGAGTAAATATCCGTTATCTCCTAACGTCTGTGTTTATCTAATGGTAATTAAGAATAATAACTTCACCAAGTTCTAAATGGCTCCAGTTTTGGACCAGACCACCACCAAATCTCATCTTCTCCTTTCTTTATCAGAAACACACTACTACCTACCTACCTAAAGACGTATTCACCATTAGCACATAGGTGTACAATATTGTAGCTGTCTCTTCTGCTGACTAATCAATCTAAAGTCACAAAGCAGTTCTCCAAAACATAAAAGTTTTGCAGGTTATAGAAACAAATTGTCTCTGAAAGCCTGGAGTGAGTGAAAACACGTGCTGGTCCACTGGAAGGAATTCCTAGGATGTCATAAAATGTGTGTTAACCTGTTATGTGCTGCACAGACACAGTAGTAACTAGCACGGAAGAATATATTTCATAGCTTATTATCGTGCTGTGTCAGGTCATTTGCACAGCTAGACCATTTATTCTACATCTGTACTGCATTGGCGCTCCCCTAACTACTAGCCCATCATTTTGACATCGCAGTGACAATGGGGGTCCCTGTGCATACATCAGCCTACAATTTCACAGTTGTTTCAGTTATTATTTCAGAAGGTATTCACTTGCCATGTTGCATCAGATAACCTAAAAAGAAGATTATTTCTCATTTTAGAAAAGTGGACGGAGCCATGCAAATTGTTGCTTTATGCCGTCTTGGCCAGGTGCACATCCAGAACCTATAGTGCAAATAAAGCCTAATATTATAGAGCCATTTATTCCAAACTACATTCAGCTGTTTCAGGCTATTTAGCTATCATCAGTGAGTGCAATGTATTGAAACCATGACTTCTATGGAGTAAAGTTGGCCATACAGTGTTATCATTTTTGTCATTCAAACTGCAGGCTGAATGAAAAAAATATAACAGATTCCACTGTGCATGCTAAAAAGTGTGGATGGACCAGTCTCTTGCCTGGCTATTGTATTCCGACAGTGTGTGGCGCTGTCAGAATATCTGAACAGTAATGAAAGCCAATTAGCCGCCGTCACCTTTCGCCTGGAAATTTTCCAACCAGCACCTCTAAATTTTGTGATCGAAGCAGGCCAGCCTGAAGGCACCCACTGAGTGAATTTCGGCTGGTTCATCAAGATCTGACCATAATTCACAGTGTATGGCCAGCTTAAAGCGACACTAAACTCAGGAGTTAAATCTTAAGAAGAGCTTAGTGTCACTTTAAGGTATATGAATGCATTTTTAAGATTTAACTCCTGAGTTTAGTGTCACTTTAAGGTATATGAATGCATTTTTAAGATTTAACTCCTGAGTTTAGTGTCACTTTAAGGTACGTGAATGCATTTTTAAGATTTAACTCCTGAGTTTAGTGTCACTTTAAGGTATATGAATGCATTTTTAAGATTTAACTCCTGAGTTAAGTGTCACTTTAAGGTACGTGGATGCATTTTTAAGATTTAACTCCTAAGTTTAGTGTCAGTTTAAGCCTTGAACCCCCAAAGAAAGTATAACCACACAGGTTATGGTGAGAAGGGACTATGCACTGATTAGAGGTGAGAGTTTTTTGATTGCTTTAGTCCCTTCTCACCATAACCTGTATGGTTACATTGTACAGTTACTATTTAATAAACATGGCAAAACAAGTCATCCCTTTCTAGTTTAAAAGAAAATAAGTCATGCTAGCAAGGCAAAACAAGTCACCCCTTGTTTCGTGGGAAATAAATCATGCAAAGTCTTCCTGATGCTACAATTACATATCTACTTACTTGTATTAGCTGACTCTGGGGTTTTTACACTTAGCAAAGGCTCCTGCACCTCCAGCAGTCAAGTGTCATTGCTCAGAGGTGCACATGGGATGTGCTCTCCTATGATCTTATATACAGAGTAGTTCTAGGTTAGGAAGCCCATGCCATTAGCCATGCTCTTACCTTAAAGTCCCCAAACTCCGGCTCGTCGTAATAACCCTGTCCTGACTCATAAGCAGTGTCTCCTTGGAATACCGTGTAAAGAAAAAGTAGTGCTACTTCCAGCAAGTGCATTTTCCAGTCCGGGCTCAGGCTCAAGTGCTTGTGGCAGTCAGGCTTCGATGTGTTCCCAGTAAAGCCTCCGCTCAGTCCAGCAAGTCCCGCAGCATCAGCCACTTCCGAGCGAGCGATCCAAAAAAGCTGGCCAAGTAACAGAAGAAAGTTGCCTCAGGAAACTGGGCATCAGCGTGGGTTGCTGCGAGCTAGCCTGCTTCCAGCCAGTAATGCCAGCATGGGGAGAGGTGTGAGAGGGATGGCAATGGCTAGGAATGAATTGTCGGGTTGCAGGGCACAGGGCGCCCGGGGTGATCTGCAGCGCTGCCAGGCATAAGGAGATGTCAATGGTGAATAGGGAGAGCTAATCCAGTCTGCATGAGAGCAGTGCGATAATAGAAGGCATGCAGGGATGGCAGGTCTAATGCAATGCTGTGTGAGAGAAGAGAAAGCACACACACAAAAAATAATACCTCCCTCCTCTCATCCTCTGATTGTAGTCTATGCTCTCTCCTCCTCCTCCTGCTCAGCCTTCAACCCTCCCTCTTGTCAGTGGTAGGAGGCAGTTCTATAGAAGAAACATCTTACTACCATTGTAGTGAACAGCTGTTCTTATTGAACGTTCAAAGCTTCCACAGTGACTTTCCTGGAGATCTTATGGACTTGCCAACTGTCCCTGATTTCCAGGACAGGCATGGAGGATTTGTCTCTGGGATGTTTGAATCTGAATAATGCCACCATCAAATCCCTTTTCTTCTGCCATGCTGCCCGAGGCTTGGTTCACATCTCTCCACATTCGTCTTTTTATTATGCACTGTGACTTTTTCATGCGTTAAAACACTTGCGCACTTTTCTTGCGTTTTTTGGTTTGCCCAATGAGGATTTATTCCCTGGCATGGCATCATCGTTGTGGACTTTTATGAAGGATGTGCTGCCTGGATTTTTGTGTCTTGTGTTGAGGAATCTGATCACAAGTCTTCATCGTTAAGGGCCTATTCACACCAAAGCGTTGAGCTAAAAGCAGAGGATCTGTGCATTTAGCACATGCTATCTGCAATGCACACTAGATGCCCTGGTGGGGTGAGTTGCCATTCATTTAAGTGACATCCCAACACACCTCTCAGTGGGTACAGTGCAACTTGCAGTACTGCTATGCCATGCGTTGGGGTGCGATAAAAAAATAGTGCATGTCAAGAAGATCTGCACTTTGCCTACGCAGGGTGAAGCAACAGGTTCCCTTTAAACTAAGGATAGCTATACTTTGGTACGATTATCCTATAAGTTACCCCCAATCATCCGCCCCCACTCCAAGTTTTATATTCACACGTGTGTCTTCCTGTGAGATCCACACTGTGCAATGCAGGGGAAGCTGCAAAGATGCCACGGCAAACTCTTTGGGTATTTCCTCGCTTCTGTGCATGCATTGTCCAGTGGATCTGTGTTCATTATTCATGAGATTGTTAAACTCCTATAGAATGGGGATTTGCTGAGTCAGGAATGAAATTGACTTCTTTATCATTACAGCCCCTAATCCTAACAAGACTACTATACATTTAAACTATTTTTAGTCATATGTGGCATCTGAGCTTGTATAGCCCATTGTGACTTTTGAATACCAGTTCCCCTTTTATTTGTATCTGAGAGCTGGTGTTGTTTTCTAGAAAACTCTTTCCTAAAACTAGCGTGTAAAATATTTGTGTGGCATTTCCTTTGAAATCCCCAGGTGTTCCCATAGACAACCCATTTGTTCATAGAGTGCACTAAACTGCTAACAGGGTCAGAATTCAGTTAAGAATAGGAGCAATATAATTGTGCCACCTCTACATCCACAAATCTTTATTACTGCATATGCATGACGTAGTAAATAACGGTGTTTTATAAAGAATTCAAAACTTTTTTCGTAAAGCATCCATTAACCCAATAACTAAAATCTCATGTGGTCATTAAAGATGCACTGAACTTTGAAAACTGCAGTTGATCTGTTTTCCATTACTGACTTACCATGCTTTGTTCTGTACTTTGTCTCTCTGTGCAGGTGGCCATCTTGGTACAGTTGCAGGTCTTTGCTTCCTCATGTCAAAGCTGCCCCACTTATGACTGATGATCTGTAGACTGGTGGGAAAATATTCAAGCAGCTGCTTATATGATAACCACCTGCCGCCCACACCAAGGATGTAAGAGGGTGCACACTTCCAAACGTTACCAAACATTCCAGGAGGCTGTGTGTAGCATCATACTGACCAGTGAAGATATCTCCTGAGCCTTAGTTCTTCTGGGATGGCATTCTGGAAGATAGAAGAGATTCTCATTGGTCAGCACAGTCACACCAGCATTTCATTGCCAGCATTGTGATATTACACAGCCTCTGGGGCTGTGTAGTGAAGTTTAGAAGTGTGTGGCCTATTTCTCTGGTGGTTTGAGCAATGAGAGGTTGTCATCTAAGCATCTAAGTCAGTGAGGACCCGAGGTGGAGGGGGAGCAGCTGAGAGGCTGTTATGAGTTAGTTCACCTTTTCTTTCTTTATTGTGAAATGGTCACCATATAACAGAAATGTCCATATTTAGGCACCTCCTGTTATAGTGTGACAATGCTCTGTTCCTGTATTCCAGCTGTTCTCATGCATGGCCAATAGCCAGATGGTCTACTGATGGAGACTGGGTGACTGCTTCACTGGCTGCAGTGCTTTCATGTAGGCAGGAATGGGCTGCAAAAAAATAGAGAAGTGATGGGCGAATCTACCTGGGTTTAGTGAGGGGGTTAGTTGAATACTGTTTTGAAATTCCTGAAACCGAAACTTAGTTGCGAATCCCATTGAGGTCTGTGGGGAGCGAATCCTAATAAAAATATTGGTCATTTTCAAGGCTAATGGGCAAGCTATTGTCAAAAAGGCCATGGGGAGCTGGGCATTGTCATGTGGGACAATTGACAAAGGACAAAAAAAAAAAAATTAAAAATGGCTATGTAGCGGTAAGAGGGTTAATTTAATTTGACTTTGAGGTTGACAAGAGAAGAATCCTTTAACTTACTGGTTTCACAGCGACACCGTATTCTGGCATTACATATTTTGGATGTGTAATGGAATTTCTAACTTTTACATTTGGCTTGGCCGAAATACAGCAGCAGCACCACATCTGATTTTTATGAAGTATTAATGGGCCTGAACTGATGACCGGTGGAAATAGCATTCACAACAAATCTAATAGATAAAGGAGTTTACTCTTTAAAAAAATAATGCCCTCAACTTTGTACAAATTGGGCATTGACAAAATAGTTTGATAGTATAGTTTGTGGTGTTCTTTTTTCACAGCCCAATAATTCACTGTCATAAAAGTGTCAATATAGATTGCACAAAAACGTTCCCTGAACCCCCTCCCATCCCCACTTTCCCAATAATTCTGGTATGTGTTTGATAGAAAATAGCTAGCATCAGGACAGTACAAGAGCACTTGTATAGGCGGCAAATAGCAAGAGACAAGGCATATCTGTAAAAAATAAGTCAAAGCAACTGGACTTGCTGTATTTTTTTGAAGATGTTTCACTGGTCATCCGACCAGCTTTCTCAATTCAGAATGACTTGTACAAAAATTATCTGGGAATAAATATGGTGAATGTTGCTCCAATCTACATAATCTGTTAATCGCAACCAGCATGGGGTCAGAGGCCTCATTGAGGTAAGGCGTTAATTGCATTTGCTTAATCGCAAACCAGCATGGGGTCAGAAACTACCCACGATCGTACGTGTATGGAAGGCGTGCGACCGTTTCTACTGTACGGTCGCACGTCTTCCGTCGAACCAGCAGGCTAGAAAACCCGCTGGGAATCGTACGATTCTCGGCGAGTTAGTGGCCTGCTGGTTCGACAACTGCCGAACGGGCCGGCACACGCACACAGCCCGTTTGCAGTCATCGTAAGCCCGCCCCTCATTACAGTCATCGTAAGCCCGCCCCTCAGGGGGACGGGCTTGTGATGATCGCAAGTACGGTCTGCCTGTCTAAGATGGGGAGATCGTACATTTTTTTAAGTACTTTACAACCCTCGCAAGACAAAAGTCTTGCGAGGGTTGTAAAGTGTATGGGCACCTTTACATGGAAATGTGTATGCGACTTATGCAATTGGCCCCATTCACAAGTGTGACTAGGGCCTAAGTTTCATTTAAACGGTTAAAAAATTGGAAAACTTAGAAAATGTGTACTGTTTTGTCATGTTTGAAATACCTTTACAAAATGCTCTTTCTCAGAGTTAACCCGGCCCTACGCTGGTAGATTTTCATATGAACGTGCATATGAAAAATCTTGTCAGAACATTTGATAATGCCATCACAAATTTGACAAATGTCGATTGAAATTTTACTAGATTTATTTTTTTAATTCTTTATTTAAGTTTTGATAAAATTGTGTTAGATTTTAACATAAAATGTTGGAATGAACATGTTCCTGAATAAAATTCATATTTGGTCTTAGATTTTGGTTTCTTCAAGAAAATTCTTCCTTCAAAATTCTTCCTTCGATGTCCTTGATTGTACAGTATAGGACACGAGCAGATTCAGAGACAATTGGGTAATATGCAGGTATTTCCAGGTGATTGGACAATGGCCAGAGCTGTGAGGACCTCATATAACCCCATCCCAGCAACCCACAGTTTTTTGCTAGTTTCCTTAGGTGATGGACATCTTGTCTCTACTGAGATTTTCAATGTTTCCTACCTTGTCACTGACTTGCTAAATCCTGCGGCTGGCCACAGTAGCAACCTTGCAGCTTCTGGATCAGTGCCCCACTGCAGCAGCTTCAGGGGGTCATATCTGGACCTTACTGGAAGGAAGTAATGTCACTTCGGACACTGAATCCCACATTCAGCACGGACTTTGGCATGTGGTGCAGAATGTTATACAGGTTCAGTGGTGTATCCATATTGGTGTGATCAACACTCCCTCCTGCCTCTCTTCTCCTCCGCTGCAGCGAAGGTATGTCCCTCGGCGCCCTCATGCCTTGTACACCGTGTATTGAATGTGATGACTCAGGGACCTTAGACTGCTGTAGCAGGCGAATAGAGAGGACCGGTCTTAAGCTGGCCATGCACTAGAACAGGGGTAGGCAACCTCGGCTCTCCAGCTGTGCTGAAACTACAAATCCCATAAGGCATTGCAAGCCACAGGCATGACCCCCAGAGGCAGAAGCATGATGGGATTTGTAGTTTCAGCACAGCTGGAGAGCCGAGGTTGCCTACCCCTGCACTAGAAGATTTCCAAACAAAAGATCTTTCTTTACTATGGGATACCAACAAAAG